TTGTGAAAGTGCTCCAGGGCTTCCAAGCAGTTCAACTTATGGAATTTTATCCATACTTTTTTTTGGGCGGGGGGGTTAACCCTAGAAGACTAACCATCAGTTAAAGTTACACCACTACTAACCATGGGTATATCATACCCGATTTTGAAAATATCAAAAAAAATATTAAATATAAATCTTTATTTGAAATATTTTACATGCAGGCACTTCATAGCATTAATAGGAACTGAAAAACATTATTTAGGTAAGAAAATCAGGTACTGAAAATTGTCATTAAAAATAGGAAAATTTGCGCTGGATACTATATACCCATGGTTAGTGTTCTAGGGTTAATGCCGTTGTCCAGTGTGGATACTATGTATTCGTCCAATGTCTATGGATGCTGTTCTTCCATTTGGTAGTGATGACCAAATGATTTCCATATTATTTAATGTCTATTCCAAAAACTATTAAGTGATTGTGTTGTCTAACTGCGATGTTAATATGTAGTCCTTTGATTTTGGCTTCTTGGAGACAAAAAGTTCTTGGTTTACCAAGGCTTTTAAATGAGAACATTCATGAATAGTCATCAGATGGTTGGAAGTTCAAACAAAGAAGGAAACAAAGACTCCCGACTTGTCTCAAAATGAAAACTTTTGTGGGGAACTGAAAAGACGTATAGGAGAAAAAAAAACGAAGTAATCTGCAACAACTTGAAGATTATGCAAATGAAGCGTGTCAAAATGTCCCTAAATATGTTTTTTTGCTGATTTAGTAACTCTCTAGTGAAAAAGAATAGAAAGGATTATTGCTCAGAAAGGATTTACAATTGACTATTAATTTTCGAGTGCTCTTAATTGCGTTCACACCATTATTTTTTTAACTTTTGCTTATAATTATTCAAAACGAAGTATTAAAAATGTTTGTTATATATTTACTAACCACAATTTCCTTATAGAAGTATAGAAAATCTAAGACAATAAAAATGTGGTTCTACAAAAGGATGCTGAGAATATTATGTACGGAACATGTGAGCAAATAAAAAATTTTAAGGGAATAACTGAAGCAGAAAAAGCAAAGGGAATCGTCGAACGACTTAACAATTGATCTTGCGTAAATGGATGGCGGACGATGGAGTCGTGGGATAGTTTTTCTTGTTAGTTTAGTGCAGTGATTCTCAAATGGTGCGCCTGGGAGTTGTCTAAGTGCGTCTGGGAGATGTCTACGTGCGCCTGGGTGATGTCTAAGTTCGTCTGGGAGATGTCTAAGTGCGCCTGGGTGATGTCTGTGCGCCTGGGAGATGTCTGTGCGAATGGGAGATGTCTAAGTGCGCCTGGGAGATGTCTAAGTTCGCCTGGGAGATGTCTAAGTGCGTCTGGGAGAGATGTCTAAGTGCGCCTGTGTGATGTCTATGCGCCTGGGAGATGTCTAAGTGCGCCTGGGAGATGTCTGTGCGCCTGGGAGATGTCTAAGTGCGCCTGGGAGTAGTCTAAGTGCGCCTGGGAGATGTCTAAGTGCGCCTGGGAGATGTCTAAGTGCGCCTGGGAGATGTCTAAGTGTGCCTAGAAGATGTCTAAGTGCGCCTCGGAGATGTCTAGGTGCGCGCTGGCATTCCAGAGAAATGTGTCCAGACATAAGAAATAAATATTTTTATTTTATATTACTGTATCCGTCACTCTGCGGATACCCCTCGAGGATTCAATGATAGGAAACTTTCGTTTTGCTGTGTATTGAACTGGTAGGAGTTACTATTAGATCCACCATGACTCGTTCGAGAAAGTTGATTACTAAAACATGTATTATCTAACATAAAATGATGATGAGGATTAGGATTGTTTATTTAAAAGTTGACTTATTAATAAATAAACTACATCTTTCAAGGCATCTGCTCGGAAGGTTTTGAGAAGTGTGGAACGACCTCTTAATTGCTGTTGTTTCCAGGCCCACTTTGTTTCGGGGTGATAGCACCTGTTAGGGTCCCAGCTATGGGCAAATAGTGAACTCCCAAAAGTATTCTGTCCCCCTAGTCAAGACTCCATTGTCAGAGGTAGCTTTAGGTTTCAGACCCATATCCAATAGTCTCAAGAGAAAAATCCTGCACCTTCAAAATTAAAAATTAATCTCCACGCTCTTCCTTGTTGCCTGCCAAACACTTGATCTTTTAATTCATAATCACCTGGACTGATGTAGTTTGGTTGATTTTTCTTAACAGATTATCAACATCTACAGGTTATTTAATGTTGAAATCTAACTATTTTGTACACTATTTTATGGCTCCAACTAAATATATTTTGAACCCAATTGTATGTCTTCAACTAAAGATATTTTGTTTATAATTTTATACTTTCGGGTTAAATATATGTTTTATAGATATATAGTTTGTAGATAAACTATTGTACGTGTTATAGGTTTTGATATAAAATTATTTCTTTTAGGTAGGATATGTTGACTGTTTCAGTATTTTAAAATATGGTTTGATTTGGTTTGGTTGTTTTTCTTAATATCAACAACAGGTATGGGTTATTTAATGCCGAAATCTAAATATAAAAATTGAAACTTTATATTAATTCAAGAGAATGACATCAGTTCAAGATTAAGTTGTAATTACTTAGCTACATTTTTCTACCAAATAATCTTACAAAATCAAACACGGTGTGAAAAAATGTTTCTCCTTATAAGAAACGAGATTTATCAGAGATAATTGTTTTTAGTTTTTATTTTTGACAATGTATGCCATGTTTTCAATTTCACAATAAATTGTATTGATAATCATTTTAATATAAAATATATTGTAGGCCCTTTTATTATAGAATGCATTGTTGATAATGCTAGTGTAAAATATATTGTTGGTCATTTTCTATAAATTTTGACATTTTGCTATAAAAATCCACTATTAGTAATTTTATTATAAAAATATATTGTTGTTAAATTTTACTACAAAAATGTATAGTTTGCAATTTTATATGAAAATGTATTGCTGTTATTTTTGCTATAAAAATTTATTTTTATACTCTCCTAATGTTGTGATTTTTGTTTGGGGTTCACTGTTTGCCATAGCTGGGATCCTAAATGATGCTAACACCCCTGGTCAGGATGGACCTGGGAACAACAGCAATTAAGAGGTAATTCCAAGCTCCTCAAAATCTCCAATCTCCCGATCAGATGACTTGCTGTCATAACTACCTCGAAGATTTTTCTCTTGCTATTGATACTGAGCAAATAGCCTTGGTTTTTCTAATTGCTACTCCTAATTTATCAAGTATTAGAAATCTAAGTTTCTCATACCCTATGCATATACAAGTACAGATGCGAAGACATACATTTGATCCATCAAATTCAGGATGTCAAATTAGTAATTACTAAAGACTTTGAATACTAAAAATCAGTTATAACAAATTCAGTATAGGGGGATAAAGAAACTGAAACTATGATTTGGAATCAGAATTTAAGACATGGGCACTGTTCATTTAAGAATTCCATACCACAATCCAAAGGAATCTACGACCAGAAAACAGTAATACTGCTTTTCCTCCCGAGGCCAATTTATTTATAAATGCTGATGATAGAGTTCTTCATAGATGAAATAAGAATGATTAAGACAAAATATCAACATCATCTACCGAGTGTTTCAAGATATACCTTTTTAAGACTGAAACTATGATCTGGACTTGAAATGAAAGCAGTGATGGCACATATATCGAATCCATCATGTAAATTCAGGATGTGGATTTAGTAAATACTGAACACTTCAAATATTATACGATGAATCGGTTATAAGAAATTCAGTATAGGAGATAAAGAAATTGAACATAAAATAGGTTGTGAAACTATGACCCGAAATTGGAATGAAGGCAGTGATGGCATATATATTGAATCCATCAAATTCTGGATGTAGAATTAGTAAATATTAAAGATTTCAAATACGATGAATCAGTTATAACAAATTCAGTGTAGGAGATAAACAAATAGAACATAAATGTTGTGGATTCCGGGATGAAATCCGGTCTCAAAATGAATGACAAACGCAGGAATGAAATATAGCAGATAAATTTATTGACGTAATAATACAATTGGTAATACAGTTAGTAGATCCAGAAATGCGGTTAGTAGCAATAATAATATATATACAGTCTGGGAAATTCAGAATCGAAGTATGACTTCCTTCTGAGTTTACGTGCTCGCAACTGTGACTCCTACAAAGCGGTTAACTCACACTCTCACTGTATCACCGTCACTCTATCACTGACTGACTGACTTCCGGGTATTCACCGACAGCAGTACAAGTACACACTGGGAAAGTTCACTTGTATGAAAAAGGGGTGGACCCCTTAACAATAGAATAAGCTGTGCTAGGAGTAGTTTCGCACTTGTACAAAACTAAAACATGAACCTAAAAACTCCAGTCATGTTTTTATATAGACTCATAAGATAGATACTTTCGTATGAATGCTGCGCATGGTACCAAACACGTACGCATACAACCGCTTTCTCAGATCAATGGTTAAAATATAATATGAAGCGAATGAAAACTAGCTCTTTAGCCATAGCCATCTTTTTTTCTAATCTTGTGAACTGTCGCCAAGGATTTACAAAGAACTGGGCGAAAAAGCAGGAATCACGTCCCTTGCGGGCTTTAAACATCATCACCAACTAAAATGAATACCATGTGTAACACGAAGAGAAAATAATGGCATCCACAATATGTTGCTGTTCCACGCTACTTTAAATAATGCTGGAAAGAGCAATAAGATAGAAAACCTGAGAAATCTATTTCCTTGAAAAAAAAAGATTTTAATCGAATGATTTTATAGATTTCAACTGTAAGTAGTAATAGCTGCTCGGTCAATGAATACCGAATGTTTCCTTTTAAGGAAACGACTAATATTGCCATTAAGGATACCATTTCTATTCAGGGTCTCATGAGCTCATTATATCTTTGCTTTGGGGCTGAGGGAAAGAAAATCAAAACATTCGTAAATTCTGTTTTGCTGATGTTCCAAACCCCTTGAGAATCACGGGGCATGCAATGCGACACACCCGATGTCATGTCGTATGGTTTAGAGATCAAAAGAGATTATGAGAGAATAATCGATAATCATCACGAGATGAACAGAGATCAATCGAATCAGATTAACACTTTAACTGGATGCTTTAATCGCCTGTATCAAAGGTCAAGGCAAATCATGAAAAGGTGTTCGTAAAACTAATCTGATCGAAGACACCTATTGATTCGCTTTGAGCGCCTAATAGACCAAACACAATAAATGGACCTCGAAAATTACAGACTAAAACATCCGAAGAGGCGATATTGATATTAAATATTCCCAAGAGAACATTTCGACTTTTCATTTTTTTTTTTTTTTACCTTGCATTAAAGTTCTATTTGCCATTTTAACAATTCTGCAGCTTAGGGAGGAACTTTCTTTTTTGCTTTCTATCTAGGTCGGTTCGTATCTATCTATCTATCTATCTATCTATCTATCTATCTATGTTTGTACGTATCTATGCATGTATCTATATAATTATCTATATCTTTTCGTATCTATCTATGTAAATCAGTTTGTACCTCTCAATCTATCTATAGTCATATCTATATATCTATATCTATCGATCTATCTGTCTATCGAAGAAAGTCTATTCGTATCTATCTATCTATCTATCTATCTATCTATCTATCTATCTATCTAAGTCTGTTTCTCTTCTCTCTCTCTCTCTCTCTCTCTATATATATATATATATATATATATATATATATATATATATATAATATTTGCCTATATATTTAGACAGAATATATTCACTCAAAAATGTTTTAGTGAATAATATATTCATATTGTGTTGACTTATTTTTATACTGACCCTTTTCAGTTGTTTAATCAGTTTCATGATGTTAAAACGAAATTCATCAAGGAAGGTCAATGGCTTTTGTAACCCATGTACTTTCGGCTTTTTCTAAGATAATTTTCGGTGTTTTGAAAAAAAATCAGTTTAAATGTCTTTTGGGAGATTTTATCTCTGACAAAAACGTAAGTACATACGATGACCACAACATTATCGCACTCTATTGTAAAACTAAAAACACATTCCTGTCCATCTTCACAATACAGGAAAATATTTGATGACAACACCAATATACTACACTACGAAAATAGTAAACAAAAACTTCAAATTCTTGAGCCCCCTATATCAAAATCAACCAATCAACACTCAACGAAAAAAATATATATGTAAAATAGAATATATATATATATATATATATATATATATATATAGGGAGCGATGTGTAAATTCTCTCTACAGTATAGTAGAGTCACTTGAGTACCGTCTGTGAGAAAAAGAGCACCATGACGTTATTCATTCCATGAGGATTTTGGAAACAGCATGATGTACTGCTTGGAATTCGCACCGGAAGAGTGTTAGGGCGTCAATCTTGTGGCAGTGCAGAGAATTTGGAAAGAGTTCGATTAGTCTATTCTTGATTATGAAGCTACGACATCTCGGAAAACTAAATTTGATCGTTCTGAGAAGAAAAGAACTCTTGAATTTGCTGGTGAGGGCCTAAGACTTAGATATAATTTTGGTAAATACATCTCTTAAAATGAGATGCCAGTGTTATTTTCCTTTTTGCGTAATTTAGGCGACAAATTATCCATCGCTTTTTATATATATATATATATATATATATATATATATATATATATGTATATATATATATATATATATATATATATATATATATATATATATATATATATATATATATATGCACACACACAGTGGGGGAGAAACAAATATTCGTATACATAAAACATTTTAATTTATTGTATTTCCATCTAATAAATAGACATACTTTTCATATAATTAGCTGTACACAGATGCATAACTAAATATGTATAAACATGAAAAAATTGATATAATAGAAATAAATCCCATTTATCCATTTTAATGGATGAAAAAGTATTTGCACAATACAAAAAAGAATCCATAATCTTCATTTAATATTTTGTAGAATAACCATTATTCACTTCTACAGCAACCAACCTCTTCTTGTAGTTCTCAATTAATGACTTGCAAATTTTAGTTGATATTTTGTTCCATTCTTCTTCGCATATGGTCTTTAGATCCAGGATGTTAGAGCTCTCAATTGGATTTGAATTTTCAAATCGCGCCACAGATTCTCGATTGGGTTTAAATCTGGGTTCTGACTTAGCTCTTTCAGGATATTTACATTATTTTCAGCGAACCATTTCTTTGTAGATTTTGCAGTGTGTTTAGGATCATTATCTTGTTAGAAGATTCAGTCACGAGGGAGTTCAAGATTTTCAAACGAAATCATTAAATTTGTTTCCAAAATAGTTTGATATCCCGAGGCATTCATTCTACCATCTATTACTGATATGTTGCCAATATATTTTGCAGAGAAACATCTAGAATTACGTCGAAACAACTCAATTTTGGTTTCGTCTTTCCATAATAATCTTTCCCAATATGATTTTTCCTTATCCTTATGTTCACAAACGAATTTCAACTTGGCATCTCTGTGTCTTTTCAATAGCAGTTGAATTTTCCGAGTGGATCGTGACTTTAAAATGTTCCTAAGAATTTCACTGCTTATTGTCTGTTTAGTGACAGTTTCCTGATGAAAGCAAATCATCCTGCAACACTTGATGAGTAAACATTAAATTTCGTTTAATTTGATGCATTAATTTCCTCCGAGATCTTGAAGAAACAACTGTTTTTCTTTGGCTTCCAACATTTTTGAAATGAATGAACTAATGGTAGTAAATGGAATATTCAGGTTGTCTGAGATTTTCCGGTAACTTTTACTTTCTTTCAAGAGCTTAACAATCAGGTTTTTGCGAATTTATCAATTCTTTACCTTTTATTTGATGATAAGCTTCTTTCAAGAATATCGATTACAAAATGTTCTGTTTGTATTTTTTATGCTAAAAATAAACAGATAACATAACTGGAACAATCTAGAATATTTCACACATTAAAATGTATAAATGGGATTTATTTATATTAAATACATTTTTTTCTGTTTTCCATGCCTATTTAGTTATCATGCATCTGTGTACAGTTAATTATATGAAAAGTATGTTCATTCATTAGTTGGAAATACAAAAAATTAAAAAATTTTATGTGTACGAATATTTGTTTCCCCTAGTGTATATATATATATATCAAACCAAAAATCGAACGAAAAACATACCTATAACTGTTATATAACGATAAAAAAATACTACGTTACTTAAAAATCGAAAACCGAAATGAATGGAGGCATAACATCACCATCACTAGTGATTACACCACATACCTTCGTAATCACCATTAGACTCATTCAACTCTTTACACATCCTCTGCACTATCCTCATATTGAAGCCCTAACGCTCTGAAATATTCGTATTGGAAGTTCTGGCGCGAATGCCAAGTAGTACAGCATGCCGTTTCCAAATGTCTGGCTGAGTGAATTGCGTCATGGCGCTCTTTTTCTCACAGACGGTGCCCAACTGACCCCACTATACTGACAAAATAAAAAACAAAAAACGCGAATTACCAGAACTTAACCATTGCATCCTGTATATAGAGACGTACTCTCAATTATGTCATGTCAGACCATTCTACTTTTGCTGCTGGTACCGTGTAACCGAGTACTAGCTGCCGCATGGAAGGATTTTCGGTTCCCCAACCAGACTTTTCTGTTTAGCAGAGTGGCTAGACACCCATCAGGATTAAAAACAAAGCCCCTCAAATGACGGATGAACCTTCTTGTAGGGTTAACGATCATCTACCTTAATGTAGACTATTTGAAATTATTGTTATGATGCAACTCATGATAGTAACAGCAGAATGATCTTAAACAAAAATGTCTTCCTACTAAAAGTGCAACTACCGTAAAAACGCCCATTAAGCGGACAATACATGACGGAAGGCATTATATAAAGAGCTAGCATCAAATCAGACGCTGATATGAAATATTACTTTGGGTCCACTAAGAATAGCTGGAAATCGCGTTTCCTTCCCCACAAAATGATACTGAGCAACATTATAGACAAAAACTGTACAACGCTTTCAAAGTATGTTTGGCGATTAAAAAGCAATCATAGGAACCACTCCATTAACTGAGAGATAATCGCAAAAGCCAGGTCATGCAACGGAAAGGGAGACAGATGTAACTTATGTTCATTGGAGAAGCTTCTTATATTAAAGAATTTAAATAATCCTAAGTTGGTGAACGCGAGGTCCGAATTAATCTCTACATGCATCCACAAATCCAAGCACCTGCTCAAAAACATTGACCCCGATTAAAAATGATTACAAAATGGATTTTACAAATATAAATATAATACGAAACAATTTTTAATTTTCTCAGAAGTAATTATCTATAACTTTCCTTATATACCTATTCACACATACAATACAATATTCCTTTACTAGATTAATTTATAATTTATAACGAGCGTATATATATAATTTCACCGTTATACGTACATTAGATATATAGTCCCGGACTATAAATTATTTTCTTATTTATTTATTTATTTATTTATTTACTCACTTATTTTTTTACCTTTTATTAAACTTTTATAACCCTACCCCCTAGCACTATCCACCAAATTTGAAAATAAATTAGTTATCCCCAACACTAGGGTCTTTATCACCACCTCCAAGAAAATCGAAAATATAACTAGATGGAAAAATAAATCAAACACCATTTCAGATGTCGGGATTTCTCAAATAAATTGCTTGCAATATAGACACACTTACATTGGTGAGACATCAGCAAATCTAATAGCCCACATCCAGAAGCACGAGAGAGAACTATGTTTGGACAACACTTTAAACTGACTTTTAATACACAGGACCAAAACTACCCATAACTATGACTTTCAAATTAGTTAAATAAAAAATAATTCTTTACGTTGAAAATATCCTGAGAATTTTTTTACAACTATAAACACTCATCACATACATTATATTACATCACCAACCTTTATTAAATCTATTCTTAAAGAATTTAACTTATATCTAACTATCAGTATCACGACCAATGTAAAAGAAACGTCCCCAAATCAACATGAGTACAACATCCAAACATAAATAATGCCTAGTAGACAAACACACACGCACAAAAACATATGCATATATACATTATCATCTGAAATCCACATAGACATACTAGAATTATTATACACTTACACACATAAACGACAACTCAAATACAGGTGAAGTCTGCTTAACCAATGAAAATGAAACAACAGAAAAATAAAAATAGCAATATTTTTTCGATATCCCATTCTCTAATGAACTTCTAATAAAAGCGAAACATATTACATTTATAAACGTTTCTTACTTGTTTTTTTATCTAATCACATACGTGCACACACATACATACATATATATCTATATACACAAATATCTATGCATTATATATATATATATATATATTACTTAACATATATACTCGTATATGAGTAGACAAATAAGAATATCCACTAAAAGCCTAACGTTTAATAATAAAATATGTTGGATTAATAAATAAATAATACATCAGTTTGTTTAGAAATATATATATATATATATATATATATATATATATATATATATTTTTTAATGAAATATATGCACAAATATATACGTGCTTTAATAATGTATTAGTAATTCAAAATTACATACTTATCGATATCATATTTGGGTTCGTAATTTTCTCAGCCATCAGTCGTCAGCACTTTCGATAAGAAATAAAAATTCTGTTCACATAGGTATATGTTAAATTCTATAATTTTACATATATTAATACCGAATATCATAACCTTCCCTTATTTTAATAATATATACATACACAGATGTTTATGTAATTTAATGTTATATATATATATATATATATATATATATATATATATATATATATATATATATAAAGTGAACATGCTAGATGCAATCGTGAGGCGACGAGTGGTCTGACGATTGCATCTAGCATGAAACAGACTGTCGCATCTAAGTGTTGACTTCCATGTTCCCTTTTATATTTACACAAGCTCTATCTCTGATATTGAGCACTTTATCCCATAAATATAGCACATCTTAAGACTATATTTCTTCACATATATATATATATATATATATATATATATATATATATATATATATATGCAGAAATGTCTCTGTACTTTGACGATTAATAAATCGAATATTTCTGTTCACATATATCGAGAGTGGGCTGACTCTGTTGGGTTTGTATCTGAAATCTCCATTGTCTCTCAAAAGCAAAAAGAAAGAATTACTAAACCGTGAGAGATATTTCACGCGTTTTATTTGATTTTATCTTTTCGATCTCTTAAGAAAGGAAGTTATTTTTGTTTGGATCAAAAACACTTCTGCCTGAAGGGCGATATTATTGTTTTAAGATGTCTGCGTACTTGTTCGTAATGTAAAGAGCTTCTTGAAAAAAAAAAATGGATAATGTTTCCAACAGAAATAACAAAATCTTCGTTTCTTGTCTCAGTCTACGAATATTATCTTTCCGCCTTTATTACTTTCTTAACCTGCAATCATTTCCCTTCTCTTCTCTCTTTTTACTTCTTACTTTCCTTCTCTTTTTTTTTTCTTTTCACTAACTTTATCTCTTTCTCTCTCACACACACCATTTCTCTCTTTTTTGATTTCCCTCTCTCTCTATCTTCATCTAGCTCGATCTCTACCTTCCGCTCTGGTTTCTTTTCTCACTTGCTTTCCCTATCAATTTCTCCTTCTTACCCCTCTTGTCTCTGTCTATGTCTATCTCTCCTTCCCTTCTTTTCCTTATATTCTTTTGAACACCCGCACCACTTTCTCACCTGCTTCCGTCATTCTGTGTCTCTTTTCTATTCCACACTCTCTCTCTCTCTCTCTCTCTCTCTCTCTCTCTCTCTCTCTCTCTCTCTCTCTCGTTTTCTTGCTGGTTTCTCTTTCTTAGTTACTTCCCTATCACTTTCTCCATCTTTCCCCTCTTCTCTATTTCCATCTTTCATTTACCTTGTTTTTTTTTCTCACTCTCACGTCTTTCTCACCTTCTCACTCCTTCTCTCTTTCTCTCTCTTTCTCTCTCTTTATCGGGCTCGATCTCTGACTTACTCACTAGTTTCTCTTTGTCACTTACTTTCCCTATCTCTTTCTCCTATGTCTCCATCTCTCCTCCTCTCCTTATTCTCTGTTTCTTACTCTAGCCTCTTTCTCACCTTCCCTATCCTTCCTTCTGTCGCTCTCTTTCACTGCCGTTTTCTGCTTTAATCACTTTAACTCGCTCTTAATCCTTATCGGCTACTCTCTCCCTCTTTTTCCCTACTTGTTTCTCTATATATCATCTCTCCTCACCTTTAATCACTTCTTTCCTTCTATCTCTATTTCTTTCTCATTTGTTTCTTTATGCAAAATATTCCTACCTCCCACTCATTTTCTCTTTTTCTCCTTCCATCTTTAGTGGTGGTATTCGATACTTATCTTACTTCTTCTTTTCTCTTCACATATAGTCTGCCGATATCTTAATTTTTTAATCATTTCATCTCAAGCAAGATGATAAAAGCCACTAGTATGCAAGAGGCCACTGAAATATAGAGAGAGAGGGTAAGATATACCTTACTTTTGCAACTAGCAATTTCAACAGTGAGATTGTGAGACCGAACTGCCAATGTAGTACTGCGCTTAAATTCATGAAGCCGAAGTACCAAAGAGGACAGCTCATTAGAACAATTACCATAAAATATGGTTCCTCCAACAAAATAATGGGAAACTACAGAAGAAGATTTTTAACAAGTTGGAGAGCAATAAGCAGCAAGACATCTACTGCAGAGCTTGGAAAGAACAGTGGGGATACATTTCATAAATGCCCGTCCTGGGTATGACGATCAACTACATCCGCGTCCTGGGTAAGACGATAAACTACATCCAACAGCAAGGCCTCTGATCAGGAGGTTTTGAGAAGCGTGGAACAACCTCTTAATTGCTGGTGTTCCCAGATCCACCCTGACCCGGGGTGGCAGCACCTCTTAAGGTCTCGGCTATGAGTAAATTGTTAACCCCCAAACTGGGGTCAAAACACTATGAAAGTGTAAAAAGAGGTTTTAGTAGCGGACATACTTTGTAAACAAAATTACCAGCAATACATTTTTGAAGGGAAAAATATTACCAGCAATAAAATTTTATCGGCATTAAATAACCAATCGAGGTTGATATGCTGTGAAACAAACCAACCAAAACCAGAGTTAAATGCATATGAGTAGAGACTCATTTCTACGTGAAAAGTCAGGCAAAGGTACTCCTGATGAGTTGAGAGTAAAATTGAATAAGAATTTACAAGCAAAGACTTTTGTTTTATTGGCAGAAGATAATAGCACTACAAATTGTTTGAAGAAAGGAGCGACTTTTATTTAACACAGTCTTACAGAGCTGCAAGTAATCACGAGAAACAAATTTGTTAGAGTCTAGACGGTGCTTCACTCTATCGGCAAACAACGATTTAAACTCTTTGAGGACATGTTTGCAATTATTACGATCGGATATAAAGAGGCGTCAGTTGTAATTAGAGCTATCTCGCTGGTATAGCCGGATTTCTGTGGCCAATAGTGGCTGAAAAGACAGGTATGAAGGAAGGAGAAGATTGTGAATTTATCTGGTATTTACGAGATGACAAAAAAAGGCCACGATGGCGGCTTTCATCCAAGAAGAAACTTCAGACGCACACTTCTCCATAGGAAGACTAAAGGTTTCACTCCAAGGAGCATTGCGAAGAAAATGGTGAAAATATATAGCAAAGCAGTACGCTGATAGCAGAAAGAATCTTGTGAATAAAGGTTTCGTGCCTCATAGATGAGTCAAAGAAATATTAACAGACACTACAGCGTGATCCATATTGCGAAGAGAACATAGCTGCAATGCACGATAGGAACCAGAAGTGGAGTTAAGGAACAAATCTAGTAAGAAGGCAAGATTGTGAGAATTATTAAAGATATAAGTAGGAAAGCGTACGATTTCACAGAGATTATTCAGGGAAAGGTAAATATTGGTTGTTTATTGTCAAATGTATAAGAATTTCTTTGGTTCGGAAATAGGCAAAAATTGGTGATTTAGATTTGAATCTATCAGCATTTATTTTGTTCGAGGATAACTAAATGTTAGTCAGTTATATTTGAGTCTATTAGCTTTTACGTCGTTCGGGTATAGCACAATATTGGTATTTTATAGTTGAATGTACAAGCATTTACATGGTTCAGATAATAGGCAAATATTAGTCGATTCTCTTTGAGTCCATAAGCAGTTATTTGCTTAAGAAATAGGTAAATATTGGTCGTTTATATTTTCATTCATAAGCATTTACAGTGTAACCCGGATATAAGAGACCCGGATATAAGAGAGACCCGGATATAAGAGAGATTTTCTCTGGTCCCAAATTAGAGCCTGTGTTAATGTATATAAAATAGACCAAACCCGGATATAAGAGAAACCCGGATATAAGAGACTTCTTCTCCGGTCCCGACAACTCTCTTATATCCGGGTTACACTGTACTTGTTTCGAGTGAAGGTAAATACTGTTTTTTTTTTTATATGTGAGTCGGGGTTAGATAATTATTGGCGATAAGGATTTATTTGATATGTAGCCCCTTTGTAAGGACTCACCTTTCTGGACGAGAATTAGCATATTCTAACAATACTCGGCCTCAAACAGATTGCATTTTTTGCTTTGCGTTTTTTTTTCTTTGTTTTTTTTTTTACTTTTCAATTAGATTTTTTATGGCCAGGATTGGTAAATCGTTTGACTGTCACCCACATTTCAGTCTGCAGGAATACAGCAATAAACAAAAACACAAAATAATAAAATTAAAGAATAAAAACTAAAAAAAATTACAATAATTCCGATATTAAATTAAATTACTTATACAGACTCAGTATTACCCAACCCACCTTTTTGCCAAAAATTATCATCGTGTGATTTGTATTAACGAAAATATTTTAAAATTAAAAATACCTAACAATTGCATAACCAAGAATAAGTATTATTCCCGTTCGTTTTTACTTTTTAATTCTGTTGATAATTTCGAAACGCTATATGTAACTTTAAAAATTTCTATTTTCTTGAATTTATTTCCATATATTATTTCCACATATATAGTAAATCATATCGTACCTTTAAAAAAAATTAATATTAAAATAACAAAGTAAATTTAAAAGAAGAAGAATATTAAATACAATTATTTGAAAAAAAAGTTTAATATTTATTTACATAAATATTCGAAACAAATATTGTAAAAACAGCAGAATAATTTCCCGTAGATATTGTTATTTGAGGCGGGTGGATTTTCATTACCTTAAATCAATCAGATATTCCACGAATAGATATCTTTTTCGATATTTTTAATCGGGAAATTTTTAACTCTCTCTTACCATTTTATTGAAATTATTAATATTTTTAAAAGTTTAGTTATTAAATTTAAAAAATGAATGAAAAAACAAACAAATTATTCTAAACATACACAATCATTTTAAACATGCTGGAGTAGGAATCATTAAAATTTTACTAAACTATTTTATTTAATTTTCTAAAAATTTATGCTTTCAAAAATATTCCGTTGAATTATTTTCTATTATTAATAAAAATTTTACTAAATTTAAACCTTCCAAAAATATTTATGCTTTCAAAAATATTTATATTTTTATATTATATTATATTTTTTTTTTCTATTGTAGACAGGACATGAAAGACGATTTATAACTTTATATATATATACATATATATATATATATATATATATATATATATATATATGTATATGTATATGTAGAGAGAGAGAGAGAGAGAGAGAGAAAGAGAGAAAGATTTTTTGAATTAATTTTTTTTCATGAAATCAATCTGTCTTTACATTTTTACTTTACTGACAAAAAATTCTTTGTTGCATTTTGTGAACCCCTGTATTGTGTGGTTTGTTTAAATTTGGATACGGTTAATATGTGTTTCAGGTTTTTAGATTGTTTTTAATTATTTTGTTTGTTTTTAGTATACTTTTCATAGTGTCATTCTTGTTAAGCAGGTCTAGATCTTTTTTAATTTCTGTAAATAGTTCTGGATTGTTGTTGTTGCATGTTGAGACATATGCTAGAGTTTGTTCGCCGTTACGTTTCTTTGGATTTTGTAGCTGGTCTAAAGGTATTTTTTTTCTCCTAGTTCCAAACATTTGTTTATTAGTGTTGTGGGGTAGCCTTGCTTTTTTAGAGTTCTTTGTGGTTCTTCTCGGCGGGTTTTAACGGAGGTGTTTGTCGGTCACTATAGTGCAAACTCTACGTGCTAGGGAATAGGGATGGATTTCAGGCAGCTTTTAAAATTGGTGTATTTTTAGAGCAGCAAGTACTTTCGTAAACTTCATGTTCCCATCGTCAGACTGTAATTTTTTTTTTATAAGCATTTCAACACAAGCAAGGCGGGAAGCCACTAGGACGCAAGGAGTTACAGAAAGTTTAGAGCAAGATCAGATAGGAGTGATAGAAGAAAGGGTGAGGGTAGTGGATAGATCAAGGCAACTGGAGGTGTCGATTGACATTACACTTGAATAGCTGGAGATTATAGCTCACAGGGAAACAGGAATAGGGAAGGGAGTTCCACAGGCGAGAGGTGCGAGACATGAAGCTATTAGAGTAGACGAGACGGCTACATTTAGGAGTTTCGACAGTTAAGTGGTGAGATCGGGATGCCAGCCTCGTAAGGCGCTGGAACTCATGACGTCTGGGAACCAGCGAATGCAGCTCATCGGAGCAATTTCCATGAAAATATTTGTAGAACAGACAGAGGGAGGCGGCGGCGCGTTTTCTACTTAGAAATAAAACTCCAAGACGAAATAAATGTATGGTAGACCGAAAGATGTTTTTTAAGAATGTGTTATTTATTAACGGTTATATCATTTTGGAACGAGCAAGTAGCAAACATTTAAAGTCGGAAATTTTTTGTATGAATTTTGTAATGTGGTAAATCCACGAATTCTTTTGTCGTAAGTGTTTTCCAGTTAACGTGACATGAACTAAGTTCAATTAATAAAGTGCTATGCCTTAGTGTTTTGGTCCGGTTCCTTGTAGCACGGTGATAGTCCAACTCGAACACAGATATGGAATAACACAGATATATTACAAACAGGAATATATACAGAGAAGTTGAAGTGTTAGTATGAACAATCAGGTTTAGTAGAGAGAACAATGTACTCTCGACCAGTATCACTATTCCAATGTCTTGCAGTAATTGTCTGAACGCG